ATTTTGAACTGAAAAAGCTTCCTGGATGGAAGAGAAACGTCTTCAAACTTGGAAACAAAGTCTAGTCGATTGTTTTTAACTCTTTTGTGACGACTATGACCTGCACACTGCAAATGGACCAGCAGGCTTTAAAGGTCATGGAAGAACTGAAACCCTGGAGCGAAACATCAGCCTGTTTGCCCTTTAATGCAAAGAAAAATCGCAATTTGATTGAAAATAATCGCTATTTAGATTTTGGGCGAAATAGTTCAGCCCTACTCCTCGGTACGACTCCAGGCTCCTTCCGGGGCTGCGGAGGACTCAGACCTGTGGAGGAGCGGGCGCTGGTTTACCTACCTTCTCCTGCACCAGTGAGATGTACGGCAGGATGAACAAGCAGTCCTTCCTGCGGCACAGCAGCTCCCTGAGGATGAGGATCTCTGCCACCAGGGTCTTCCCTCCACTGGTGGGAAGCGAGTAGATCAGGTTCTTCCTCTGATGAACGCAGTCCAGGTTCAGACACGTCTCCTGCCAGTCTGGGAAACAACAGCTTTGATCAGTCATGTCCTCAGATGGACGCTAGGATGAATGATGGACGCCTCGCTGAGCGCCCATGTTCTCACCGTATAACCTCTGGATTCCTCTCAGCCTCAGCATCAGCTCTTTGACTTTCCTGGGGAGGCCGAAGAAGGGCCCCAGGTCAGCGGCCTCTGCAGAGATGGCCTCCATGGCCTCGCTGATCTCCTTGGAAATAACCGCCTCCTTCAGCGCCGCGGAGCGAGGCGCAGCAGCAGGAGCCGCTGCGTTCCCCAGCATGGCCTCCTTCAGCTGCTCCGCCATGCTCTTCCTCACCCCGCCACGCCTCTTGGCCCCCTCGGGTTCCTCGATCCCAGCGGCCCCGCCAGGAGGCATCGGGGTCGCCTTGGCGACCTGCAGCCGGCTCCTCTTTGCCTGATCCTGGATCTGCTCCTGGAACTGCAGCTGGCTGGGGGGTAGGTCTTCCAGCTCGTCGCCCAGGGGGGCGGCGGAGCAGGACATGGCGTCCGTGGAAGGGGGCGGAGTCCTGAAGCCCTGCAGCTGCTGTGATTGCAGTCTCTCACGCTGCTCTGCATCGTCCAGCCGTGCCAGGATGGAGCTGTCCTCCAGGATGCTGTCATAGTCCCCGAACAGATCCTCACTGTCGCTGCAGAACTGCCAGCCAAACACAAGAAGAAGAAGAACATTGGTTATGTCTGTCTAGTCTAGATCTATAACCTGCCTTCATCCTGCCCCAGTGGACCCCACCCTACCTCCACAGCTGCACTTTCTGCCATGATGCTGCTGCAGGGGGCGCATGGCGCTGACCCCCCTCCTCCCCCTCGGACAGGTGTCAGGTGAGCCTTCAGAGCGTCACGCGGCCTCTTCCTCGCGCAGACTCGTTTGATTTTGACGTGGAGCCTCACTGAGCTCATCCCTGCGTGGGTTCACCTCGGAACCATCCTTCAGCCCGGAGGTCCGGCCGGTCAGACCATCAGCCCAACCCGAACCCACCGGAAGCGCTAACGATGCTAGCTACAGTTAGCCGGAACCACGCGCCGCTGGCGACAGAAATAAACCGATTAAATCAAATTAATATTCTAACTTGACTTGAATAAAAGGACTAAGAAGCTCCAACCGCTCAGCACGTTCAAACGTACGACTGGTGACGTCAGACGCGGAGTAACGATGATTGGTGGAGAAGTCCCTCCGTCACGTCCGGTTTCCGGTTGCTGGTGTTTGGAACCCAGAGGAAATTTTTATGAAATTAAATCATTATTATTTTATAAAGATGATTAAAAATATACAAACTACAGAGAAACAACGAGAAAAACCGGTCTGATCCGGTCAGGGATTCATCTATCTGTTGTTACCGACCATCATAACAAAATTCTTTATTTTGACTTTCTTGGTGGAAAAAAAAATAAAAAATAAAAAATTGAATTTCTTTTTAAATTAAACTATTATCAACTTATTTAACCATCATAGTAAAAGGCTCACCATGAGATTTCTCCTTAGAAGAAGTTGTCAATCAAAAAAAGTTATTTTTATTACCCTGATTTTGAAAGGGGATTCATAATAATAATAATAATAATAAATAAAATAATAATAAAAATGCAATCAAGTATCGATTAATTCCTCAAATGAAACAGTGAAATGTCGTCAAAAATTTTTATAAAATATTTTATAAATTTCCCCATAAATATTTGGATATAAACACAATAACCTGAAATTATTCTAAAATACATTTAGACATTCTTTGTTACATATTGATGTTTGCTTGATGCTGAGTTCAACGCTTTAATTAAAAAGCTGGTTTAACATAAAGAACTGCCCTTTCTGTATATTTTAGAAATGTCCATCTCTTCCTGTTTTTATCTTTGGAATAACAACACTGACTGTGACGTCATGTATTGAGTAATATGAAACGTGAGTTAATTATTATTTTGTGATTGTTGTTTAATAGAAACACATGCGCGAATAAATGTAATGTTTTTACCTTTTAAAGTATTAAATAAAAAGAAGTGCGTCCGGAACTAAAGCGGCGTTGCCAGTGTTTCCTGTCGTCCCCCTGCTGCTTCCGGTCCAGTGTCCGCTCAGAATGTTGTGCCTCAGAGGTCTCCGCAGGATCAAGGCTGCCGCGTTTCTCCAGAGGAACAGCGGTGAGTGACCGAGTCCCAACCGGTCCGAACCGGTTCCCCCTCTCCTGAACCCAAACCTGGCCGGTTTGTAGAACCGGAACCCTTATTGGGTCTGATCGGACCGTTGTTCTGTTCCCCCCGCAGCTCACAGGAGCCTGTCATCGGCTGAAGCGCTGCAGGATGAGCCGGTGGGTGAGGTACGGTGAGGAAGCTCTAATGTCCGCCGCTAGAGGCAGAAATAACGGGATGTTTTTCTGTGCAGCTCCTGAAGGCGGAGGGTCCATCCAAGGAGCCCCAGAGGGGCTGCGTCCTCTGCAGCGTCACCGTGGACTTTAAAAACATCCAGGTGAGAGCGATGGCGGCAGCTCCGCTGAGCTGATTGGTTGATCCTGTCACTGAATACTGACACCTGCTGGACATTTGCAGACACTACAGGCAGCTTCTGACAGGCTAAAGTCAAACTGATTTGATGACCTATATATAAAATCATATTTAAAACCATTGTTATCGTTGATGTATAGTATTAATATTTTAGTTTAAATTGAAAATATGTTTGATATTTTCAGAAAGATTTTTTAGACAATTCATAAATTTGAACAGATAACCGAAAAATTTAAATGAGCCTGTGAGACTAGGATTTATTCTTTTAAGATAAGAACAGGAAGAGCAGCAAACTAAGAGTCAAT